CAGTAACTAATTTAAGATCAATAATAGTAAAAATTATAACATCTCTCAAGTATTTTCCTCCTGTAAAGCTGTTATTCAGGATCATCACATTGGTACCAAGTATGGTGTTAGCAGCAAAGAGAATTGTTAAGAACTGAAAAAGCAAACTCATGCAAACAGTGAGCCTTTAGATTCTACTGGACATGATTAAATAGGAGAAAATTTCCTTTCCACGCAGCAACAAATGGGACACTTACTAAATCTGGAAACATTTTTTAGAATTATTTTGTGCCTATTCGATGTCTAGATTGGCTTTATTCCTGACAACCTGCAGAGTATTCCTGTGTGGTCTCCTGGCATAGGAATTTGAGATTAGTTTTATTTTGCCTCATTCTTTTTTCTTTTTGAGGTATGTTCAGTGACTACCGAACAAGTATATTCCACATTACATTTATCAGAGGACAGCTGTTACTGAATTTGTGTAGTAAAGGTTAGATGTGGGCAAGTTAATGGTGTTTATCCCTTTCATGGTATTTGTTGTAAAGTTTTAATCATCTGAATTGGGAAATAAAGTCCCTGAAGGTGACAAAATGTTCTTTCAATTGCTGCCTATATTAAAAGGATTTCATTGTAGCATATGCCTTCTTTCATGGTACCACCACTGCTCAGGTAGCAAACTGAGTGATGCTGCCAGGTCATTCTTTGAACAACAGTATGTTGTTCTCTGGGCCTTGTGGCTGGAATTTCGGTTGTACGACTAGTTAACCTATACTTCTATTCAGCAGGCTGTTCCCATTATTAAAAACAAGTAGTTTTAATCAGCGAGTACACGTTTTGATGAAGTTTTCAGGTTTCTGCGGGTGCTAATACAAGAAAAATATTCTGTATTGTTGTACTTTAGGTTTAGGTTTTTAAGATACTGTGTCTATATTCAGGTTTATTACTCTAACCTAAATTTGCCACTGTAGTGCCGTGGAAAGTCTGGCAGTGTGACATGATGGAGTTTCTACAGGGGGAAAATACATTTTTAAAATCTTTTCATAAGAATAGTAGATTTGGTCATAGTAGTGTGTGTCATTTCTACCCAACTCTTTTAAAAAAAAAAAGTTACAGTTCACTAGATCCAAAAATAATATACTTTCAACTCGTAGTTCTGTGATCTTATCTTATTAATGTTAATGTTTTATTAATATTGGTATTTTAACGAGAGACTTTCTGGTCTCTTCCATACTAATCATAACACAAAGGGCACTTGGATTTAATAAAAATTCTTCCAGGTGATTCATCCAAAACTCATGCTGGACATTGTGGATGTCAGTGTAGTCATGCAGTCTGCTTTGTGTGAGTAGCTAAGAATTCATTTATAGCTATGGTAGGGAATATAGAAAGGTTTAGCACATCTCTGAAATAAACCAGGGCAGTTTGTACAGAGCAGCTTGGCACACCGAACTAATGTACTTACTGAGGAAGCGATACCATGCAATCTTCACTTCAGGCTTCAGTCACAGTTCCTTGGAAATGAGGATCAAGGCGTAGTTAGCTGAGTAACAAAATCAACCAGATTGAAAGGCTGATTGATAGACTTCTTGTATATAGTAAGGTTGTACTCTGTTCCTTGCTGGGTTTCTAATATTTGCATATCCCAAGGTAGTATACATCTTTTAGTAATTTTTACCTCTGTGAAGTGACCAAAATAACTTACTGTTGTCCCTGCATTTCTTTGATATGCTGTAATATTTTAGAAGAGGGTTATGGTTTCATTGTGTATAGACTATATATTGTTTCAACATACCATGAACTATAATCTGGCCTACATCACTAAAAAGATGTCTTATAAGCTCTATATTGTGGTTCCAACAAATTAAAGCATAGCAACACATTTGATAATGCTGATAGCTTTGAGGATTATATGCAGGCAGGGCTGTGAACACAATCCAAGTTTATAAGTTGATGTCTGTATACAGTGCTTCACAAAGAGCCAGATGCGAGAGACTTCTGCACATCTGGTTATTTTATTAGAATTTTGAAACACAGTATAGTCATTAAATGTATGTGTATATCCACAGTGCAATTGCAGTAGTTACAGTGGATAATATGAAGAGGACACATCTCAAATGGAATGAAGTTGTCCAGTTCTCTGCATTGCATTGTGAACAGTCAGATGAGTTTGTCTTGGTGTGTTTTTCTCAGGAATAAAAAACAACAAGAAAAACCCAAATAAATGCTCCTAAGCATTTTTTTAATCTCTTTTTTCCTTTCCCTTTTTCTTTTTAAGTTTCTGATGACATTTATGGGGCATTGCACAAATACACAAAACCCCATGTATGGCAAAATAAATCTTTAAAGTGTGAAGAACAATTTCTTCAGATTTAGTAAGACAGCATGAAGTGCAGTATTTATTTATTTATTTATTTTAGAAGTGTAAAGTATCTTCAAGAAGGTGCCAAATGTTCGTCATAGTCTCGTACATCTGTCTTTTTCCTCTTTATAGTTGTGTTTCAGTTGTTTGTGTTGATTTTGAAACTTAAGTATGCAGTAGATAATTTTGCTGCTAAATGGACATTTTGCGTGAAGATCTGAGTGAAGATCCCAGTCTGTAAACTTGCAATTCTGTCAGCTAAAGATAAATATATTTTTAAATGAGCTTGAAGGACTCAGTGTAAAAGTTCACTGGACGTGTTTTGCTGAAGAATGCTGTTGGACTATGCAAGTTCCCACAGTTTTAAGATTTATCAGTGCAAAGGTTATTTGAGACCTTCAGGAATTGTTAAACTACAAAACAGTAAGATTGTTGAGAGTAAGTTGTGATCTTGGTTGAGTTAGATGCATTCATACTGAAACTATTTCCTCTACCACCACCTCCATTTCCCCCTTCCCCCCCGCCTCCATTGGCCAAAGAAGGCTTCTTTGGGGGTAGGGGTAGCAGAGCTTGTCTGTTCATTTTTAAACCTTGTAATGAAGCTTGCTTGGTTGAACCACCTATTTCACAGTAGACCAAACTACAGTCCTTCCAAGGGTGTGTTTTTTCTTCTTTTCCAGAGGAAATCAATTCCACTGGATACGGGGAACTTGTCCCTCTAGTGACAGTGGTTATGTTCAAGCAGTACAGGAGCTGTACAAATTTCTCTTACTGTTTCTTTCCCAAAATAGCGATGGAGTATGTAGAGTGAAAGAAGGGTTGTCCACAGCCCTTGCAACAGTACTCTGTATAAAAGAACTTTTTGTGTTCTAGTTTGGTATGGTTTTTGCAGAACAATTCTGAATGAGATAAGTTAACAGTAGAGATACATAATGTATATAATTTGCACAGATAAGCTATAAGAAGACATGGATGGGCACAATATTGTGATTTGTTTGGAAATTTATACATCAGAAAATGAAAAAGCAGGTATTTCTTTGAGCACTGGAGTCCTGGAACCATATCCTGTGGCTGATTTTGGTGCTTTTCCCATGGCTGGTCAGTTATAGAGATGTAGTTCTTTGTGGATTCTCTGGTGTTTACTAAGTGTTGGGTTTATGCTGGAGCTTTTTTCAAGTACAGCTATACCCCACTGTCTGCAGAGGATGTGTTTCTGAAAAGTATGATATGACACAAGTGCAGTGTTGCTTGTGAAAAATGATGTGGTAAAGAGGGACTCATGCAGGGACTTAAGATGTGCATGGAGTTCAAATACACAGGAACAGCTTGTGTGGTTGGGAGGGTGAGAGGCAAGAGCAGATTATCAGAATCGGCAACTGGAAGAGGTGCTGGCTTTTACAGATGCTGGGTTTTGGAAAGAATCATCATTCTAAAAATTAACATCCATTGTGAAACTGCCTGATTATTAGCCCTGTCCTTCACTCTTGAACTGATGTTGATTTATCGGAGGAAGATGATGATGGAGATGAAGATGCAGCTGTTGAGAAAGGCAACGATGACTTTCACGGTAAAAGGTTTTTGGCAGGCATTCAGTTTCATAGATTAAGCCATTCCACAGACTGTTGTGAAAAGCTTGCATCTTCTCTATATGGGTTGATCCTGATGACCCTTCTGCTGCCTCTCTATCTTCAATGTTGTATATACTACTCCTTTGTATTAAAATAACTGTGTGTTTCTGAAGTCTCTGCATACATCCTGCTCTGCTATATGAATTTCTATAGGAAAAATTGCTTTGCAGTCTGTCAAGCTCAGCTGCTTCATCTGTGAAGCTGGTGATAGCAGAGCAGGATATTAAGCGATCAGTGGTAGAACTCAGAACGAAAATAGCAAAACAATGGATAGTGGGATTACTCGATCATAAGTTCCTTCAATTTTATTGCTACCTGCTTTCACAAAACTTGTAGAATCATCTTCATCTTTAACATTTATCTTTTCTTTCCTCAATCTGCACCATACTTGATTGAAATCAGCCAGCCAAATAGTTATTTAAGCTAAAGCTGCATGAAATAAAATTCTTCATAGTCAGGGGTTTGAGAGGAGCATAGGCTAAAACCTTCTTCACAATTCTTGTAGGAGCCTATAAGATTCTCAAAATAAAAAGCTTTTATAGAAAAACTAGAGTAGAAAAATAGAAAGTGCTCTAAGATACAATAGTCTTGGAACCATGAATCTCTGGAGATTAGGAGGATGTTGGACTCGGACACTGAGTCGGAGAATTTTTCTTTCTGTCCCAGCATGGTTCTTTCCCTTAACCGATACATTGGAACAGTCTTCTACTGCATTTTGTGTAACTCAAGTTCTCCTTTCATGATTTTGCAACTACATTTTTCTTGTTGCTATGCCATCTGTCTTGTTATAAGCTTAAAAATATGTTTAAACCAGGAAATATTTAACCTCACTTCTCTTACCTCCACCTTTCCCCACTTTAGAAATTGAGTTGGGAGAAATTATCTTTCTTTTCTCTGTACTGTTTACCTGTTTACAACATACAGTCATTTTCTGAGTGTTCAGAAAGATTCTACTTTTGTTTTGTGAGCAAAATATAATGAATCACATTATGGGCATTATATTTGAAATCCTTTCCTGTTTGTTTATTTGACAGGTCCTTGACCAGTATGAACGAGAAGGGTTTAATTTCCTAGCTAAAGTTTTTAATTCTTCACATTCCTTCTTAGAAGACTTGACAGGTCTAACTTTATTACACCAGGAGACACAGGCGGCTGAGGTAAGAAAACACAATTTGGATGTTAAGAATAAACAGGTGGCAGTAAAGGGTGCTTGGTGTTATGTTCAGCTGTATAACCATGTGATTAAATGAATCCTTGATAGAATCGAGCAGTGGTATTTGATTTACAGGATGATTTACACAAGCCATGTACGTATTCCATCTGGTGAGATAGGGTGTGTCCTCTTAATGTCATAGCATAAGAAATATTGTTTGATGTGAGAGATCATTCTTTTTTTAAGAGTAGATGATGGGATGCATGTTGACAGCCAGTTAGAAATGTGTAGTGCTATTATTGTTATTCATTTTATTGTTTTCACTTTTTGTGAAATTACTGAAATATTTTAAGTAACAGTTGTTGCTTGACAGTTCTGAATTTATATCGAGAAAGTTCCTGCCTGTTGTCTTTTAGGGTGTGTTTCACTGGCAGTGTAAACTGCAGTTTCTGCAAGCATTACAAGTACTGTATACAAGTACTGATAATAGGTAGCCATGATAGCACAGAGCCCAGTGTGTGCTAAGAACCACAGTATTTACACAGGTTCCTAGGCAGGTTAGACATTCTCTTAAATTAATCGTAACTTTTATTATGTGAGTTTTCGAGTATTGCTTTTAAAGAAAACAAGTGACTTGTGTTATGTGGTGAAAAAAACGTAATTATTATACTGTCTGATGGATTATAACATAGGAGCACAATGCTGCTTATTTGTCTAGTGACAAATGTTGTAATGCAGAATGAAATTTGGATATGTTTTGTTCTCATGGGCGATAACCCTGTCTAAAGAGTTGAGATATTGAGTTTGTCCCTTAAAAAAATGAAACAGGTATCTGTCTTAATACTGTAGTTTAATAACAGTTTGCAATCCTGACTCTGCAAATGTCTGTACTGCTCTACATCTATAATTTAATTTTAGTGTAGTTGTATCACATGGATGTTTCTAAAGTTGCCTTTGAGAAGTGATTATTCAGTTACTGTAGCCTGTGTGAATGGTCTAGCTGTTTTTTCAGCTGGAAAACAGTGTTGCTTAATAAGGTTTGGGGGGAATAATGATGACTTGGCTCTCTGTTTTGTGTTCTAACCTTTTAAAATAATTGGAGCAGATGCTGGAGATGTTAAACCATGAAATACCTGATACATTCTTAAATCAACCTACAAAAAATTTAAATATATATATGAGAGAGATCCAAGAAAGGAAAACAAATACCCTTTAACAGGTGCTACTCATTAACATAAGTGATTGTAGTCTGATTGCCAAACCTGACTTTTAGGCTGCTAAGAAGTGTCTAGGCTACTAATGGCAGCATTAAAAACAATTACAATTGCCCTAGTTAGTAATGTATTATTTTGCAGATATTAATTAATAAATTTCTTTTGCAGCTTCAGAATGTATACAGGTGTTTGTTTATAAAGTTTTAGATATTCTTTACAAAATGGAGAGTCTGGTGTGGGACTATTGCAACTTACTGAAGTTCAAAGTTTAACATAAAAAATGAAACTAGTGTGCTTTCAAAAACCTTTGGGTTCAACAGTGAGGTCTATGCAGTGAAATCATTGCTCGTAGGTGGAAAAACAGACATACAAAATATTTGCAAAGCTAATGCATTCAAATTACCCCAACTACCGTATAACCACCAACTTTTCTTGATTGCTTCCCTGTAGCATTATTTATTTTTGTAAAAACTCATCTGTTTTATCAGGGTTAACTATTTTAATGATCTTGATAAGGTTTGTATTTGTGAATGGTGAGGTCTCACAGGCAGATTATGTGCAGATTATGGAGTATGCTTGCTTTCTTTGGATTAAAAGACCTATTCTTTTGTTACATTTTGCCACTATTGACTCTGAAAAATAGAGGTGGTTTTATTGTCCTCCACTACTCCCTCACTACATAATCTGGGGTAGTTTTAAAAAATTTTAGGTGCACAAGAGGGTGCTTTTAGTATATTATCTGCTGAATAGTTCTATTTTGAGCTGTTTTTTCTCATACAGTGCAGTTGGTGCAATTTATATTGCTGAGTTTGAAGACTCAGCAATGTTTTTTCAGGCTTCTGGCTGCTTTTGAGCTGCTGTTGGCAGAATTAGTCTCTAAAATGGAGGCATTAGATTTGGTAAGATCAGTGCTCCTTAGGTTGATTTAAGAGATTCTTGGTACATGGCATTCTAAAAACTGCAACAAGAGGTGTGAGAGAGGTTTTATAAGGCATGTATGACCTATTTTGGTAATTAGAACATTTGCTTGTTCTGTTGAGAAGTTACTTGCCTTTCTGCACTCAAGCTCTTCAGAGAGACTTTGTAGATGATTGTTGGGTTTGGACACCATAAAAATGGCTTCTAGTAACTGAGGATTTTCCTTTCCTCATATCTAGTAGCATTTGACCAGTGCCATTGCTCCTCTGCGAAGAAAATAGACTTGTAAAGTTACATGTCACTCAAATTTACTGCAGTAACATCATAATTATGTTGCAGTTTAATATATAAAATCACTGATACTAGGCTAATGAAGTTGCACCTGATAGGGAAACTGCGCAATCTTGTTCTTTTTCTAAAAAGATCACTCTTAAAACATTGATTCGTTAAGAGCCTTTAATTGAATGTTTTACTCAGCATGTTTTGTTGTGGTCAGAAGAACTGGGGGGTTTGTCACGTTGGTCTTATGCTTTAGTATATTGTTAAATCACAACCTTTTTTTTAATTGACCTGACAAATGCTTAGCTGCTTTCATGATGTGTGTATATAAGTGCTTTAATGAGCTAAAGACTAAGCTAATTTTAAAAAATTGCTTCTAAGTTTTGAGTTGCTTAAAAGAGATTCTGGATAAGTCATGCATGTTTCGTAGGAGTGGCTGACTATGTTAAATAGAATATTTTTGGATGGCCTGAAGTTTCCATGAAAACCTTACCTCCCAACATGCTTAGCACAGGCTGCGTTTGCCCGGATTAAAGCAATACAATTTGCAGTAAGATATGGAAGACTTTTCACTTACTGAATGTCTTTTTAACTTGCATTGCTCAGTTTCCTGTTCCAGTGCTGTACTGTTGACCTAAATGTTAATACCATCTTGACATACTTTACCTTGTCTTTTTAAAATGACTGATAAGAATATAATCATAATACAGTGTGCAAGCAGGTATTTAGTTTGTGGTTCAAATTTCATACTAATTGCAGGGGTTTTAGTCAATAAAGCACCTCTTTCTTTAACATGAGATGCATCAGGAAATTATAAATATTTGACATGACTTCCTTAGCATGACAGTTTACTTGGTAAATAATACAGTTAGCAAGTGTTTCTATTCTGTCTTGAAATGACAGTAAATTCAGGCATCTGCTTTTTCCACATCTGGCTTTAATTTAGGTTCTCTGGAACATCTCTTGTTTGTTTTTTTTTTAATACCAGATAGATATTTATGTACAGCTTCGGCAAGAGACTCTGATGACATGCATGGCTTTGAAGGCCAATAGAAGCTGTGGGAAACTCCCACGTCAGCACTTAGACCTTGTTTCCACTGGATACAGTTCCCTTTGGGAGCTGCCCAAGCTCACGTTAAGAATTGCACTTCTGTTTTCCAGATCGGTTTGTCTCCTTACTCCTAACCTAAATTTTTAAACTTAACACTTGTTCAAAGTGTAGTCAAGTTTAATAGCTGGGCTTAAAACAGAGAAAGCCTATGCATCTCTTGGATTATTAATCAGAAACTGGCGGCATTGATTTGGAGACAACCACCAACCGAATGACTTCCAGTTCATAACTTGGCTGGGCTGCCCGATGATGGTTGCGTATCGCAGTGCATCTCTAAAACCAGCTGGTTTGCTTGCCACACACGCCAGACTGAACCCTGCAAAGTGTATAGGGTTTTGCTGATGTGGAGAGCTCTTTATATTTAATGTAGTCTAAAATTATAGCTTTCCTGATATGCACCTGACTACTCTGTGTTAAAGATTAATTTTTACTGACATGGCACGCTTCTGGAAGTGAAAACTGACACATTACTAAAACCCATAGTCAAGATTATTCCATAGTTGTGGAAGAACCATTCCTATTTGTAAGATTTTCTAAGAAGCTTACTTCTTTAAAGGTACTTGTTTTATTGTTGCTGTTTTTCTTCAGAAACAACTGCCACTGTTCTTCAAGGCTCAATTAAGCAAAATAACCAGGCTTATCCTTACTTGAGCATATGTAAGTGCTCTTGAAATCACTGGGAGCGAAGCATCTATTGAAAAGGATTGATAGAAGGAGCGATAATAGTGGTAAAGTGAAATTTTTGCATGAATTCGCTGTAGTATGTGTAGTTGAATTTCTATACAAGGCTTTTTCAACTATATCCATTTTCAGAACTACAGACGTAATTTCTGTCTGTTCTCAGTAAGAGGCAAGTATAACTGTACTTTCTTACTTTGGATTTCAATTCCTAAATTACCTGGATGCTTTAAGAAGCTTTACCATACTTTCTACTTTCAACAGGATGAAAAAAAAAATCATAAAATACACAAAAGAAATAAAATTTTGACTTTGTCTTATGAGTGATTAAAACACAAGAAGTGGTAGAACTCTTGCAATCTAAGAGGATCGTAAAAAAATTTGGAAAAAATCAAATCCAGACCAGAGTTCATATTTCTGAATGTGATTATAAAGGCCAGATACTGGTGCCAGCAGGTCATGATGTCTATGTTATTTTACTTTAGAAATTTTGTACTTGAAGTTTTTTCTCTCTTCCATTGTGATCCATAGTATCTATAGTTTTGATGACAGGTTCTTGTGGTCAGTGAATGAATCCTATTTGGTATTTGCAAAATCCCCTTGCTGTGCTGGTTTACTGTATGCCAAACAATGCAGATTAGAACCCTTATATCCTATAGAAGGGTAGGATTAATTAAAAAAAAAAAAAATCATGCTAGTAAAACACTTTGATCTCTCTGAATAGGAGAAAATACAGAAACCCCTTTTTTTATTCTGGTTCTGCACTTATTTGAAGTTTGTGCCTGACCATTTTTTCAGCCATTT